TTTGGCAATGGGAATAACACTACTATAAATACCATACACAGGTTTTGTATTTGTTTGTTTTGTGTTAATCGTCACCCGAGTAAATTTTTCCATTGATTTTTTTTTTTTTTTTTTTTTTTTTAGGTAGAGTAAAACAGAGGGAGGGAGAAAGAATGTGAGAGAGACACAGCAATAGGTTACCGGGGCCAGGGATCAAACCTGCAATCCAGGTATGTGTGCTGACCAGATATTGAACCCGTGACCCCTTGGTCCTTGGACTTGTGCTCTAACTGCTAAGCCAAACCAGCCAGGGCCATGTGCAGGTGTTTTAAGTGGATATAATTCTTCAACTCCTTTGGGTAAATAGCAAGGAGTGAAGTTCTGGATAGTTATAGAACGAGTATGTCCAGTTGTTAGAAACAGCCAAACTGTCCATTAGAGTGGCTGTTCCATTTTGCATTCCCACCAGCAATGTATGAGATGTCTTGTTGCTGTACATCTCTGCCAGCATGTGATGCTGTCAGGGTTCTGTATTTTGGCTTGTCTAATAGTGTGTGGTGGAATCTCATTGTTTCCATTTAAATTTCACTGATAACCTACCATGCTGTGCATCTTTTCATATGATTATTTGCCATCTGAATATATCCTTTGGTGAGGTGCCTGTTAAGGTATTTGGCTCATTTTTCAATCAGGCTGTTTTCTTCCTGTTGAGTTTTAAGAGTCCTTGTATACTTTGGATAACAGCCCTTTATTACATGTGTCTCTTACAAATATTTTCTTCCAGTCTGTGGCTGGTCTTCTCATTCTCTTGACAATGTCTTTTACAGAGTAGAAGTTCTTAATTTTAATAAAGTCCACCTTATCAATTACTTATTTCATAAACTGTGCCTTTAGGTGTTGTATCTAAAAAATCACCATACCCAAGGTCATCTAGGTTTTCTCCTGTTACAGTCTACAAATTTTATAGTTTTGTGTATTACACTTCGGTCTGTGATTAATTTGAGTTAATTTTTTGCAAAGGATGTATGGTCTATATCTAGATTCATATTTCTGCACATGAATGTCCACTTGTTCCAGCACCTTTTGTTGAAGATAGCTTTGCTCCATTTTACCACCTTTGCTTATTTGCCAAAGGTCTATTTCTGTACTCTCTAGTCTGTTCCATTGACCCATCTATCTCTTCTTTGCCAATGCCACACTGTCTTGACCAATGTAGCCTTATGGTAAATCTTAAGACAAAAAGTGACATGGAGGAATTTTAAATGCACATTACTTACTGAAAGAAGTCTATGTGAGAAGTCTACATATTACATGATTCTACCTATATGACATTATAGGAAATGCAAAATCATGGAGATAGTTCAAAGATTTGTGGTTGCTGGGGGAATGTGAGGGGGCAGAGGTAACAAATAGGCACAGGATTTTTAGAGCAGTGGAAATACTCTATCATTAAAATAAATGAAGAACACATACTAATATTAAGAAATAACATTAGAACTATAAGAAATAAATTTTCCTCCTCCAAGTACAAACGAGGGCCAAAGAAAAGAGTTACTGTATAATCAATCCTTTGGTCTCTCTGGAGACTTCCTATCTACTTTTCAATTTAAGCACACTGGAAATGACTGCTAATGACATCTATCAGTCCTTGTCTTTTGTTTTCTTAATCATACATGGGTTTTAGATTTCCACATCAGACAGCTGCTCAACGCCACCTTTTTAGTACAGCCGAAGACAAAGGTGTCTCCTTTCTCATCATACTAGCTGCGTTCCCTTTCCAGTTCTCTGTCAGCTCTCTTTACCTGATCCTTCTACCCTTTGGTATAAATTCCCAAGATGCTTTCTCTGATGAACACAGCTGCCTCTACTAATTTTACAGTTCCGATTCATACATAACTAAGGTATTCACAATTGTATTATACAAGAGCTTTTCAAAGTATTTAGAAATCAAATGCTTGCACGATCAAAGCACTATCCGCACAGAGCAGTGGAACAGAATTGAGAATCCAGAAAAAAAAAAAAGGTGGCGTTGGGCAACTAATTTTCAACAATGGAGCCAAAAACACACAATGGAGAAAAGAAAGCCTCTTCAATAAGAGGTGCTGGGAAAATTGGAAAGCCATGTGCAAAAGAATGAAACTAAACTGCTATTTATCACCATACACAAAAATTAACCCAAAATGGATCAAAGTCCTAAATATTAGATCTGAAACAATAAAATACATAGAAGAAAACATAGGTACTAAACTTACGGACCTTGGTCTCAGAGAAGACTTTATATATTTAACCCCAAAGGCAAGAGAAGTAAAAGCAAAAATAAATAAGTGGTACCATATCAAACTAGAAAGCCTTTGGTACAACAAAAGAAACCACCAACAAAACAAAAAGACAACCAATCAAATAAGAGAATATATTTGCAAATAATACTCCAATAAGGGGCTAATTTCCAAAAAATATAATAAACTCTTATAACTCAATAATGAAAAAATCAAGCACTCTAATTTATAAATGGGCAGAGGACCTGAAAAGACACTTTTCCAAAGAAGACATACAAATGGCCAACAGACATGTGAAAAGATGCTCCACTTCACTAGCTATTAAGGGAAATGAAAATGAAAACCACAGTGAGATATCACCTCACACCTGTCAGAACAGCTATTATCAAAAAGTCAACACACAAGTTGCCTAAGATGTGAAGAAAGGGAACTGTCATGCACTGATGGTGGGATTGTAAATTGATGCAGCCCCTATGAAAAACAGTATGGTGGTTCCTCAAAAAATTGAAGACAACTACCATAAGACCCAGCAATGCTACTTCTGGGCATTTAGTCAAAGAAAACAAGAACGCTAATTTGAAAAGCTATATGCACCCCTATGTTCCTTGTAGAATTATTCATCATCACCAAGGTATGGATGCAACCTAGGTTTCCATTGATAGATAAATGGATAAAGATGATACACCACACAAAACACACACACACACACACACACACTGGAATATTATTTAGCCATTAAAAAAGAACAAACTCTTGCCCTAGCCAGCGGTTAGAGCATCGGCCCGTGGACCAGAGAGGCCCGGGTTTGGTACCCGCTAAGGGCATGTACCTGAGTTGCTGTTTGTTCTCAGCCCCGGTAGGGGTCATGCGGGTGGCAACCACTCGGTGTGTCTCTCTCACTTTGATATTTCTAGCTCTCTCTCGTCCTCCCTCTCTCCCACCCGCTCTATCACAAGATAAATGCAAAAAAAATGTCCTCAGATTAGGATAAAAAAATTTTTAAAAAAAAGAATAAACTCTTGCCATCTCTGACAACATGAATATTATGCTAAGTGAAATAAGTCAGAGAGAGAGAAAGACACATACCATATAATTTCACTTATATATAGAATCTTAAGAGAAAAACACACAAAACAGATTCATAGATACAGAAAAAAAACTGATGGTAGCCAGAGTAAAGGAGGAGGAGAGAATGGGTGAAAGAGGTGAAGAGGCATTAGAATTACAACCTTCTAGTGATAAATAAATAAGCCACAGGGATGTAATGTACAGCATAGGGAATACAGTCAATAATTTAATAACTTGGTACGGTGACAGAGGGTTACTAGACTTATAGCAATCACGTCAGACGGTATATAAATGTTGAGTCACTATGTTGTACACCTGAAACTAACATAAAATTATATGTCAACTATACTTTAATAAAAATAAATAATAAAAACAATGCTTTAATAGGTCAGAGTTGATGTAATTTAAATTTTGGTACACACCATCAAATTGCCTCTTATAGAGTTTATGCCCGTTTATACTGAGTTTATACTGTCACGAACAGTAGATAAGAACACCTGCAATACCACTCACAGCATAATGCACTGTAAAAGTATTCATTCTCTGCCAGAATAAATTAAGATCTATTGTATTTCAATTGTTAATTAAGGTGGACATCTTTTCATATTGAATAAACATTTTACATTTCTGTTTTTAGTAAATGATTGTTTAATAGCCTGCATTTTAATTGGATTCATTTTTTCTGTTAATTTTAGAAGCTCTTTTAAAATTAACTAGTCCTATAATCATCTGTATTATAATTCTTGTTTTACAATTTTTGCTTTTGTCCTGACTGAATTTATGATGATTGTGCCTTGCAGATGTGTTTTATTTTTGTATAGTTGAGGTGATCAATCTTTCTTTTAGTTTCACATAAATTATTTCATATTTTCTTTTAGTTTTTTACCATTTCATATCTTACATTTACATCTTTGATCTCTTTAGCATTTAAGAAATAATAAAGGCCTGCCTGGCTGGTGTGGCTCAGTGGTTGAGCGATGAGAAGTCACCGGTTTGATTCCCAGTCAGGGCACATGCCCAGGTTGTAGGGCAAATCCCCAGGGAAGGGCATGCAGGAGGCAGCCAATTGACGTTCTCTCTCATTGATGTCCTCTCTCATCAATGTTTCTATCTCTCTCTACCTTTCCCTTTATCTCTCTAAAAAAAACAATAAAGAAGTTCTAGCCGGTTTGGCTCAGCAGTTAGAGCATCGGCCTGTGGACCAGAGAAACCCGGGTTCGGTTCCCGCCAAGGGCATGTACCTTGGTTACAGTTTGTCCCAGCCCTGGTTGGGTCATGCAGGTGGCAACCACTCAATGTGTTCCTTTCACGTCAATGTTTCTCTCTCTTTCTCTCTCTCTCCCTCCCACTCTATCTGAACAACAACAACAAAAAAAAAATATTTATATATATATATATATATATATATATATATATATATATATGAAGAAGAAGAAGAAGGAGAAACTGAGGCAATCTGGTACAAGGCTTACTTAGTAACATGCAGAAAATGTGGATTGAAAATATGTACCATAATATTATAGTACTAAATAAGATATCAACAGAAACACAAGAATATCCTAATAAGTGAATGCCATGAAATACTGATGCTATGATTACAATGAGCTTGCTGATTCTATCAAGTAAATAGTATAAACTCAAATGCTATAATAGAAAATGCAGTGAGTTGGTACATACTTGTGACAAAAAACTTTTTTGTGAAAGTACAGCTATCAAAGGCAGCGATTTTCTCCTGCAAGACTACAACGAGGATCCTAAAATTAGAGAGAAAAAACATTTTTTAAAATGTGAGTGTAAAAGTCTGTAAGTTGAATCATAAATAAGTAAATCATCTAGATTGAAACAAGTATCTATCCTTACAACTTAAGAAAATCCAGTATTTCTTATACTATTTAGGCTAGAAACATCTGCCTAATAAAATGCAAAAATATAATCACAAAATCCTTAATAATCAACACAGACATCAGAGAAATAAAAGTAACAGAGAGCAAACTACATCTCAAAAAAATTTTTCCTCTGAAGCAAATTTTATCTTTACTCATTATAAATCAAATAAATCTATCTTCATTAAGAATGTATAAGATCAATAAATTGCTGGCTATTTACTAAAAGTGTTTTTCCACTTCTGGCTCAAAGTCATGGAATTGAACATAAAATGGATTTACATAGCTTGTCACTTAAAATTATTGCTGAATTTCCCAATATAAAAACAAAAAAGGAAGAGAAGTCAGACAACTAATTTAATCAGACTCTATATGACTTATATTTCTCCCAGAGCCCAAATTTAAAAATAATTAGTGAAATAATTTATTTATAGGTTATTTTTTATTTTTTTTATCTTCACCCAAGACCTTTTTTTTTTTGCATTTATCTTCAGATAGAGCAGGATGGAGAAAAGGAGGAAGAGAGAGAGAGAGAGAGAGAAACATCGACTGGTTGCCACCCACACGACCCCAACTGGGGCCGGGGAAAACCTGCAAATGAGGTACATGCCCTTAGCGGGAACCGAACCCTGGACTCTCTGGTCAGTAGGCCAACATTCTAACCACTGAGCCAAACCAGTCAGGGCAGTTATAAAATTCCTATAATACATCCCAAATAAAGTTATTTTATAAATTACATTTAGAGCTGCTCCTTGCAAGACATTAATATAACAGACAAATTGCAGTTATTTTTAAAAACCAAATAAAGCTATGCTGGTGTGACTCACTGGTTGAGCATCGGCCCATGCCAAAAGGTTGCCACAGTTCGATTCCCAGTCAGGGCACATGCCCAGGCTGTGGGCCAAATCCCCAGTCGGGTACATGCAGGAGGCGGCCAATCAATGTTCTCTCTATTTGATGTTTCTATCTCTCCCTCTCCCTCTTCCTTCGTCTCTCAAAGGCAGTGAATGATATTGGTAGAACTCTACATGCCCAGGAGGTATGTTGCTTGTACAAGAAACACATTAAAAAACGCTTGCCACCCTGGCGGGTTTGCGCAGTGGTTGGCGCATCGGCCTGCAGTCCAGAGAGACCCAGGTTCTGTTCCCACTAAGGGCACGTATCTCGGTTGCGGTTTGTCCCCGGCCCTGGTTGGGTCATGCAGGTGGCAGCCACTCAATGTGTCCCTTTCACGTCAATGTTTCTCTCTCTCTCGTTCTCTCTCTCCCTCCCATTCTATCTGAACAAAAAATGGAAAAATGTCCTTGGATGAGGATAAAAAAACAAACAAACAAACATGCTTACCGCTTGTTGCAATGAAGATCATAGATAGGAGTTTTAAACTGAATGGACTTGACCATCTCCCCAGTACGAAGTGAATACAGATCCACACAACAGTAAGGTGGGCTAGTACTAAAAGAAGACAAATGCCATTAGTTTTCAAATGGTGGGAGGGCCAGTAAGCTATATTTTCTTATTAAAATAATCTTAAAACCCCTTCTTAATATAATATAAGCAAACTTATTTGAGCTATTGAAAAAAGATCATAATATATCCCAAGCAACTCACATAAGGAATGTACAATTAGGGAAAGAAAAACCGGGGGGGGGGGGGGGGGGAGAGAAAAAACAGTGAAACTCATTCACTAATTTAATACTAGTAGAAAAGGAAAATCCTAAGATTACCTCAATAAGTACAGAAAAGCATGATAAAATTAAAAACCTATTCATTAAAACCTGATAAAAGATAACAACCTTAAAACTGACAAATAGAAACTCGCAGTCGCATATAAAGGTAAAATATGGAAAGCTTTCACCCTAAAATAAGGAACTAAACAAAAATACTCAATATTGACACTTCTGTTCAACACAGTTTGGAAGGTCCTATACATAAGGGACAAAAACAAATTATTAATAAAGAAATAAATAAAGCTGTCATTATTTGCTGATAACATGATTGTGTAAGTATAAAATCCAATAACACAAATTCGTACGTAGAACTATATATACAGACAGCCCCACAATAAAGACAAACCATTAGAATTAGAATTAATATATGAATTTACCAAGGTCACTAGATACAATAGCACCTCTATTTTTATAAACTAAGACAAATAATTATAAAATAAAATTTTCAAACAATATTATATACTGAGTATATTAATATACTGAACACCTTGGAATAAATCCAAGGAAAGATTTCAATATATAAACAAAATAAGAACAAAACAAGACCAAAAGAAGTGAAAGTAAAGTAAGTCAGTCATAGAATGACAAACACCATATGATTTCACTTATATGTGGAATCTAAAGAACAATATAAATGAGCCCTGGCCGGTTTGGTTCAGCGGTTAGAGCGTCGGCCTGCGGTCCTGAGAGACCTGGGTTCGGTTCCCGCTAGGGGCGCGTACCTCGGTTGCAGTTTGTCCCCGGCCCTGGTCAGTCGTGCGGGTGGCAGCCACTCGATGTGTTCCTTTCACGTCAATGTTTCTTTCTCTCTCTGTTCCTCTCTCTCCCTCCCACTCTACCTGAACAAAAAAAAAAAATGGAAAATGTCCTCGGGTGAGGAAAAAAAAAAACTTTTGCCCTGGCCAGTTTGGCTCAGCGGTTAGAGCGTCGGCCTGCGGTACAGAGAGACCCGGGTTCGGTTCCCGCTAAGGGCATGTACCTCGGTTGCAGTTTGTCCCTGGCCCTGGTAGGTTGTGCGGGTGGCAGCCACTCAATGTGTTCCTTTCACATCGATGTTTCTCTCTCTCTCTCTGTTCCTCTCTCTCCCTCCCACTCTACCTGAACAAAATAAATAAATAAATAAAAATAAAGAACAATATAAATGAATAAAAAAAAAAAACAGACTCATAGATACAGAGAACGGACTGATGGTTGCCACAGAGGAGGGGGTTGGGGAACTGGGTGAAAAGGTGAAGAACTTGAGAAAACAGATTGGTAAGTAGAAAAGAGTCTTGGGAATGTAAAGTATAGCATTGGGAGGAGGGTGTCAAGGGGGAGGAAGAAGAAACATCTGTAATAAAAATAAAATAAATAAAAACAGTTGTAAAAATAATAATAATAATAATAATAATAATATTGTAATAACTATGTATGGGGCCAGATAGGTACTAGAAATTTTGGGAAAACACTTTGTAAAGTATATGTTTTTCTAACCACTAAGCTATACACCTGAAACCCATACAAAATAGTAATATGAAATATAATTTAAAAAAACATTATTTATCTTAAATAAAGAATAAATGTTAGTGAAAATGTGGAGAAAAGGAAGCCCTTTTGCATTGTTGGTGGGAATGTAAATTCGTGCAGCCACTATGAAAAACAATATGAAGGTTCCTAAAAAAATTTGTAATTTGCTGCCAGAGGCTAGGGAAAGAAGCAAACTATAGAGTAGAAAGTAGCATGAGAAACTTTTGGAGGTGATGGTAATGTTGTTATGTCTTGATTACATTGGGTACTTACACGACTGTATACAACTGGCAAAACTGGGTGGGGGAGAGGGAAACCTAATAAAACCCAACTTCGATCTCTAAAATTAACACAAGGCAAAAATTCTTTTCATAATGTTCCCAACTAATTAAACCAGTCCTCTGCTGAGAAGCAATGAGTTAATAATGAACGAAATTTAACATTTTGCCAGACCAGCTGGGAAGTGAAAAACAGCTTGTCACCTTCAATTAGCAGCTCATTACAGCTACTGGTACACTAGAAACTTAAATTCTGATCATTTCAGGGGCATCCATACAATGTCACAACTGAGATTCTTCCTGCGGAAACCCTTCAATAGAAGTAGACAAAACAAATGCAATTGAAGGCTGTTTAGAGTTGACTGAACAAGACTTAAGAGCACTAAAAACTCTGTGCCAAAAACCTCTAGAAAAAGATAATTCTTTAGTTTTCAGAAAGTCACACATTCATAAAGGAGTCACGCTATCTGCCAATAACACAATTGTGTACACGCCTGGCATATCCTTTTGTTCTCTGCTTTCTCTCTTTTTAAAAGCCTTGACCAGTTCCCTGGACACAGCAAGACAATCTTCATTTTCCCCATGGGTTGGCTGATGAGAAAGCTCTCCATAACATCAGCAGTATGCATGCCCCATAACAGGAAGGGCAAGTGTTATACTAAAATAAACAGACTTGAAATAAGCTTTTACTTTGTACTCTAGTATATACTAAACAGTGCCACAAGAAAAAAATGAAGAAAAAGTAAAACAGCTTATAATCAACACTATAAATCCATTAAAGTCAACCAACTTATAGAAGAATCCACCTTACAAAAGCAGAATACACTTTCCTCTAATGTGCCCAAAATTAAGAATTATAAGTGTTGGGACTTGTGATCTATTCCATTATATCACGCTTAAGAGCTACTAACTTTAAAAATATATCTTGTTAAAAATCTTCCTGAATGATATATCTCTGATCATTTATTCCTGTTTCAGAATGTCAATGACACCACGTTGCCACAGAATAAAGTCCAACCTTTTATCTAAGCAAATAAAGCCCCACATAATATTGACCCAATTTTTTAAGTATTTAGTTTACATTTTCTTCTTTCATACAATCTTGTCCTCTAGTCCATAAACCACTAGTGACTTTTTTTACTCACGGTCCTCTATTCCTTTTTTTTTTTTCCAATTTTATTCTTTATTGATTTTAGAGAAACAGGAAGGGAAAGGGAGAGAGAGAAACATCGATGAGAGAGAACATCAATTGGCTGCCTCCTGCATGCCCGCCACTGGGGATTGGGCCCACAACCTGGACATGTGCCCTCACCAGGCATTGAACCAGCGACCTCTTGGTGCACGGATCGACACTCAACCACTGAGCCACATCAGCCGGGCCATGATCTCTATTCCATGCCCATCTCCAGACTTCTAAATCTCAACAATCGTTAGAATGACTACAGTGATAGCGTCCCAGCTTGAAGTATACTATCTTCTTCCTTTGAAACCTCACAATACTTTTACCCATCGACTCAATTAAAGAATCTGCCAGCCATAATCGACTTAATGAGAAATGTCCCATTCACTATCCCAAGATAAATCGGCAGTCTTAAAAGGTCATGCTCTTTGCTACACAGGCTCTCCCTTTTAGTTAGACCAGAGGAGATAAAATATGTAAGTAGATGTAATTTACAGATTGGCATGAAGTATTAAACTGTACTCACATAGAGACACACCACCGCACTTAAAAAAACAACGAGAGAAAAACTATATTCAGAGGATAGAGGGTTATAGGTGATGGTGGTATATCCTAATACCTCATGTATCACATATATAAGATGGTCAAATAAATAGATGAAGAGCAATAAAATTATACAGCAATGTAGAAATAAATAATGAACAAAAAACAAAAAGTCAAAATTAGGTTCTATTCTTAGAATTATGAAAGAGAATTATTGCCTTTTATCTGTGTATTAATCTATTGCTTTGATAAATGGATAGTTTTCTGAGTCCTGGGCGCTCTAAACAAAACAAGCCAAATTCTTTCCCTCATTGATCATGTTCTAGCAGGCAAAGACAAACATAAACATGCAAACAGGTAAAATGAATACATGGATAGGTACTGATGAATAAAGAAAAACACGGTAGGGAAAAGGATAAGCCCAGGGAACGAAAGGGTATGCAGCACTGCCTGGAGAGTTGCGAAGATCAGAGAGGAAGGATTAAAAAAACTATGAATATTAGTTTCTTTTGGTGACGGATATAAAACTGTAAAGAGTGCACAGTCAGTGACGATGGTCACAAGTATACAAAGGCAGGGTGACTAGGAGGGTAGGGAGAAGCAAGAGAGCACAAAAGCGGGAGAGTCGGAGAGGATCACATTCCAGAGTATGTGGAATATCGGAAAATAGAGGGTAAGGCCTTAGAACCAGCTATGTTCAGGATTCTAAATAGAAAGCTGAAAAGAACTGTTTTAACATACTTTGTATTTCTATTGTCACACAGGTAGGTGGTCTCAGGCCCAGAAGTTAACACCAGGATCACAGGACCCCATACCACTACAGATGATACATCATGAAGTAGTATCCTTACTTTATCAATAATTACAAGTTTCCTAATGATTTTACCCAATGCACCATGGTTTCCAACAGCAAAAATCTGAAATTCCCTTGCACACAAAAGCTTTCCCCCATTATAAAAGGTTATTACTCAATGATTCGTGATTGAAGAGTGGTAGGATATACATAGGGATTGCTCACATCGTTCAACAGTCATACTGATCAAAGAACTGGTTCCAAAGTCGAAAAACATACATTGAGAAGTCTAAGCCATTGGCAGCTGTTTTACATTTTATGATTATTTTTAAATAAAGGTATACTAAACATACATAAAGAATGTACACATCTAAGGTGAACACCTCCATGAATTTTCATGAGGTAGATAGATGTTTATAACTCCACCTAGATAGAAAAAAACATTTCCAGTCCCTCAGAAATGCTCCTCATGCCCCCTTCAATTCACATGAGTCCCCATCCTCCCTCAAGTCATCACTAGAGACTTCCCGGTGGCCTGATAAAGTGAGCAGCCATGTGGGGGAAGCCTCCATGCCAAACAAATACAGATGGCCTTCAGCACATACCCAGCAGTACACTGGAGCCCTCAGCCCTAAATCTGCAAAGAAATGATTCTCTCCCAGTCAAGCCCACAGATAAAAACCCAGTTAGGGTGACACCTCAAAAGCAGCCTTGTAAGACCCTAAGCTCAAGGCCCAGTGCCTGGACTGCTGAACTATAGAAAATAGGAAATTGTCTATTGTCTCAAGACATTAAGTCTGCCCTCAACTGTTACACAGAAATACATAACCAATACATACCTTTCTCCCTCTTTGCACACAATGATCTTTAGATTCAAGTGCAATCCCAAAGGCTGGAAGGATTTTCTAAGGGAAATATAAAAGGCCATTGCACTACTTCCAAATAACATGATTGCCTTTTCACCCACTATATTTGAAAACTAAATTTCAGCATTGTAACTAAAGTTATGATTTGCTGTTTATATTTTAATTGATCAAATTAATTTCTTTCCATGAAGTAGTGGACAATTACATTAGATTTTTAAATTTTACGAATATAAACTATTCTAAAATAAATCTGAGTGGGCAGCCGTTTCTCCAGTTCTTCTGTTAAATACTAACATTGCTAGTATCCTAACTTACTTTTATTAAGGCAATAGAGACAGTTTACAAAATAATAAAACTGGAATACTACTGAACATTAAGCACTTTAAATCAAAAAAGTTATTTTAATTTTCATAAGTAATATCAGTAATTTGTTCTTAATGAATTGAGGTTACACAGTTAAAAGGTTTGACCAAATGTATATAACCACATAATTTGGTTGAGTGATCATCAGAACTCTCTCAATCCACTACTTCAGAATTTTTTTATATACAAATAATACTATACATGTTGTAAACATGGGAAAATATTCTGACAGTCTGTTTCAGATCTAACAATTACTACTTAAGGAAAAAGTCAACAATACAATGAGGTCGAGTCAAATGAACCCTGAAAAGACGATGAATTGGAATAGAAATTAAGATTTTTGGGGGTATATACAGTTAAGTATTGCTGTTGAAGGATATCTTTTCATGTTAGAGTTAATAATCCCTTTTCTGTGTCAAAAACTAGGTTATTAGCATCTAGAGAATGATAAATGACCTAGGCATCTTGAGCCTTTTGTGAAGAGTTAGCATGATGTTGAGTACTTTAACATTTTTTTAATGCATAAAGAAATAATGATGAACCTTATGCTTTATCTTTGAAATTTAAGCACTGCCTAAAAATGGTATATTAGATCATTTTTTGTGCTTTATGAAAAAACGGAGTTACAAAGAGTACAATATTAAATTCAACTTCTATACTTAAATTTATAAATCTCTATCAAACATGTTTAAATTTTGAATCTCAGTGTCCTTTTAATTTTTATCATAATATGCTTTTTTCTTTATATTCACATATTTTATTAGGATCATAGGTATTTCTTACCCTAAATAATGTTTTCAAAATAATATTTTATAATATAATACTATGAGCATCATGTTAAAGCAATGTGAAATATGGCTTTTATGATTTGAAAATTCTAAACATTAATATCATTTCCCTTTACAAAGAATTTTATTATTTTTATTCATGATATTTAACAGATTGAACTAAAATTAGGAAAATCGGAACAAAGTATTTGAGAAAGTGACATTTTCCAAGAATGTGCATGTATAAGTGAAACACAAAATAGCAAAGACATTTTAAATCTACCACAAATTGCAAGAAGCATGGAAACACTTATTTTTAAATGGGAAAAAGCTGTACAACCTTCAACATGTGTTACTGAATCTAATCCTTTAAATATAAGAGGAAAATTTTTGATAGAATTACATTATTTGTATTCTTATTCAGCTCCCAAAGAACAAAAGCCACTTGGTTGCATTTTTTATTAAGAAATTAAAAAGAAAAAGCAAAGAAAATGGAAACTTAGCCATATTAAAAGCTAAATTTGTGATTAGCCTAGTTAATAATAACATTTTTCTTCTGCAAAGTTCGGAATAAACACTGGATAATTAAACCTTCCAACACTCCCACAAGATGAGAGAGTGGCAGTAGTGAAGCCTTTACTTGGGGAGGTAACCAGGCAGGAAGGAGTAAACATCTCCAAATAAAAATAGGAGGTAATGTTAGAATTGGGGGTGGAATCAGATGTTCTTCAATAGGCATCCTCATCTGACTTACTGCATATAGCAGGCAGCCAAAGACATACTATATTCGATTTTTAAAAATAAGTTTCTAGCCCTGCTCTGTGTGGCTCAGTAGTTAAAGCGTCGGCCCACAGACCAATGAGTTATGGGTTCGATCCGGTCAAGGGCACATACCTCGGTTGCAATTCATCCCCAGCCCCAGTCAGGGTCAAGTGGGAGACAACCAGTCAATGTGTCTCTCTCACGTCGATGTTTCTCTTTCTCTCTCTCTCTCTCTCTCTCCCCCCTTTCCTCCCTCCCTCCCTCTCTCTCCCACTCTCTCTCTCTCCCTCCCACTCTATCAGAAGCTAAACATAAAAATATCCTTTGGTTAGGATTAAAATAAATAAACAAGTTTCTATTATTTGCACTGAAATTTTAAAGTTAGAAATACTCTACTTTTAAGGATAAATCAAAATAATTACTTGTTTGTTTGTTTGTTTGTTTTTTATAATTTTTTTTTTTTTTTATTATCCTCACCCGAGGACATTTTTGAAATTTTTGTACAGATAGAGTGGGAGGGAGAGAGAGAGAGAGAAACATCGACGTGAAAGGGACACATCGAGTGGCTGCCACCCACACGACCGACCAGGGCCGGGGACAAACTGCAACTGAAGTACGTGCCCTTAGCGGGAACCGAACCCGGGTCTCTCCAGACCGCAGGCCAACGCTCTAACCGCTGAGCCAAACCGGCCAGGGCTGTATGTTTGTTTTTTAAGGGTAGAATATAAAGTTATCATACAAGGAAATATGTTTAATATATCACAGTGAAAAAGAAACGCAATGAAATGCCAAACTATGAAAGATATGTTACAAGGGACAAGAAAAAACTGCAGTTTACTTTATATATCCATACATGAGTGATACAAACGCATATATAATTTATATATATTTATGATACCATTTTCCACTATGCCTACACAACCTTTGTCCAGTAAAAATCATTCCTAAATACAGCATTTACAATTTTCTTTTCAACTTATCTTCAGATAGAGTGGGAGGGAGGAAAAAAGAGGGAGTGAAAAGAAACATCAATGTGACAGAAAAACATGGACTGGCTGCCTCCCGCACAACCCCAACCAGGGCCGGGGACAAACAGAAACCAAGGTGCATGCCCTTGACTGGAATCAAACCCACAACTCACTGATCTGCAGGCTGACGCTCTAACCACTGAGCAAAACCAGCCAGGGTAGCATTTACAATTTATAAGGAAATTTTTTCAAATATTTTACTGTATAGCAGACATCAGCAAACTATGTCCCAAATCCAATCCCCACTGCTAGTTTCATTGGAACATAGCCACACCTACTTTTTCTTTATTTTCCATCGCTGAACTGAGTAGTTGCCACAGAAACCATATGGTCAGCTAAGCTTAAAACATTTCTCATATGGCAAACAAAACTTCACTGACCCCTGATCTATAGTGTTGTTGCTCTTTCCTAATGTAATTGGGCTGCTTTACACTGTCTTTGTTGTGGGGGAATATGAGGTGAGCCTGAATTCCTGAAATACAGGAACTCTACAGTAATGTATCTTGGGATTAACTATTCTGATTTTTGACATTTCCTCCATTACATTACTTTGCCTCTCTTATTTAGTAACTATGCATATATTCTAATTTCTTCCCATTTTGCTCAAGCTCTAATTTTATTCAGTTTCCTATCTATTCTCCCTTTGGTGCCTTCCAATTTTTGCATCAATTCTGTGATGTGTTTATGGGATTCTTTCCCATTGACTTTTTCCCATAGGTCTCATCTCTCCTATTATATCGCCTTGTCTTCCCTGAGTTCTTGTATTTGTGTTGTGCTTTTCTTTCAGAGAAAAAATTTATTTATTAAATTATAAAAAGTTATGGTGAAATATTTGTTTACAATTATCATAGTCTGCATAGCAACAGTATTCTGACTGCTCTTTCCTTATGAATAACATTTCGCTGAGTTAGGTTTTCCCTTTGTCATTTCTTGTAAGTTTTCAAAGATCAAGTTCATAATATTGATTATTATCCTTTAATGACCATATGATCTGTAGTAATGCCCCTTCATTCATTCTTGATATTGGTAACTTAGGTCTTCTGCTTTTCTTGATCCGTCTCACTAAAAGGTTATCACTTTTATTAATGTTATCAAAGAACTAGCTTTGGGCTTAACCAACTTTCCCCGATTTCTTTCATTGATTTCCACTTATTTTCTTCCTCTTACTTATTTTAGGTAAAATTTCTCATAATTTTTAGCTTCCTGTGGTGAAAAGTTTTTAATCTTTTTTTCCTTTTCAAATGAAAGCACTTAGCTCTATAGCATCTCTTTGTCCCTTCTTTGGTTACATCCCAAATTTTTGATATGCTGTTGTTTTAACAATTCTATTTTCTTGTTAATTCTGCTTGGCCCATAGTTAATTTCCAAACATTGTACAGATTTTCCAGAGATGTTCATTTATTGATCTCTAATTTTGATTGCATTATGGTTATAAAATATACTCTGTTACTGAACTTTGCTTTATCTGCCAGCATATGATCAGTCTTGGTGAATGTTCCAAGTGCACTTAAAAGTATGTGGATATAGCCCTGGCCGGTGTGTCTCAGCGGTTAAAGCATTGGCCTACCGTCCCGAGAGACCCAGGTTTGGTTCCCGCTAAGGGCATGTACCTCGGTTGCAGTTAGTCCCCGGCCCTGGTTGTGTTATGTGGGTGGCAGCCACTCGATGTGTCCCTTTCACATCGATGTTTCGCTCACTCTCTCTTTCTCTCTCTCTCTCTCGCACTCCCACTCCATCTGAACAAAAAAGAAAAAATGTCCTCAGGTGGGGGGGGAGTATGTATATATAATATTCTATAAATATCAACTGAGTCAAACTGATATTATAGTCTCGTCATCTATATCCTGACTGATATAGTACTTGTCCCATCTGTTATTAAAAGACGAATGTTAACCTCCAACTTTAATTGTTGATTTCTCTATTCCCTTTCATCTGTAATACTGCTCAATGTATTTTGAAAATTCATATATTTTGAAACACATATCTGAATAGTCACTTTTTAAAAAGATTGAACATACTCAAAAAAGGTCATGTTTGCTAGTCATCTCCCCTGCAGAAATGTTAGGTAATCAGATCCATTACACATAAATAGATATTCCTTTCTAATATAGGCATATGT